GCGACAGGCACCGGAGACCTTACGGCCACAGCTCCGAACAGCCGCATCGACAATGGAGGCGGAGAATATGGTCCACTCAGATTCAGTGTCTCCAACCTCCCCCGGGATCTGGTCAAAGCTCTGCCGGAGGTGGGAGTTGAACATTCTGCTAAATGTTCCCAACAGACCCTCACAATACGTTTGGGTCTGCCGAGCCTGCCATCGGATCCAGCTCACCACCAGGTGGTGATCAGTTGACAGCTCCGCCCCTCTCTTCACCCGAGTGTCCAAGACATACGGCCGGAGGTCAGATGAAACAACCATTTAGTCGATCATCGACCTCCGGCCTAGGGTGTCCTGGTGCCATGTGCACTGATGCACACCCTTATGCTTGAACATGGTGTTTGTTATGGACAGACTGTGACTAGCACAGAAGTCCAGTAACAGAACACCACTCTGGTTCAGATCGGGGAGGCCGTTCCTCCCATTCACGCCTGCTGTGTAACAGCAGATCAGATTTGTAAGAGATAATATTGTAATAATAAATGGTAAAAGAAGCAGCAGCTGTAGTAGTCTGGTTAGATGAAGCATTGCAGGTCAGTCTCACTGCAGTGTAGGTGACTTCAGAATCTGTCCAACATGATATATCGAGGTTTATTTATACTACACTTTCCAGCAGCCACCAGATTGACCAGAGGGCCTCACATAACCTAAAATTCACCTTCAATCAAAACAATACAGCATGCAGACAAAACAGTGCAGCACATAATACAATAAAATGATGTCGAACTCGAACTAGAATACATAAAAACAGAATTTTTGGTGGATAGGTGCCGTACCTAGCAATCAATTAAACATGAATAGAAACCAAACACATATACAATAGAATGATAACACTGGAAGAATTAAAAGCTAGTGTAAATAAGTTTTAAGTTCTGATTTGGACGAAATGATATCCGGTGCTAAATGCGAAGCTAATGGCAAAGTATTCCAAAGCCTCAGAGCAACAACAAGAAAAGGTGTGATCTCCCCATCTTTTATATGTGATTCTTTGGATGTCGAGCTAACACTAGGAAGAAACCCTAAGTGTTTTAGAGTATTTGTCGAAAAGAGTTCAGCACAGTAAGAGAGTGTGACAGTTAAAATTTTTAAAACATTTAAATTTTGGAATCGATCCTAAAGCGCATATGGAAAACTTCTTGTATTGTGGCTATAGTAAGTGGTTGTCACTGTACAAACAGCACATTTATCTTAACTGCATGGAAATTGAATGGCATCCACTGAAAAGCCCACAGGTATAGAACCTCGCTTTTAGATCCTCTGACCAGTTGATTTAGAGTCAAAGGGGATCATGCTTTTGCTGTCGTGGGTCCAAATCATAGAACAGTTTACCATTTAACATTCGAGCAAAAGCTGGAAGTGGCTTTAGATCCCACTTAAAAACCTCATCTTTTTTTACTCTGATGTTTAAACCCAAGTTGCTCCATTGTCTCTTTTTATTTATTTTTGATTGTTTTTAAAAAATTTTTATTTATTTTATTAACTGATGTACAGCACTTTGGTCTACTCCTGTTGTTTTAAATGTGCTTATAAATAAAATCTGATTAATAGTAGGTCAGCATTAACAATCAAACACCAGTCAATCAATTCAATAGGAGGTTTTTTGTTTTTCCCCAGAGAGCATTTCTCTCTGACTCGTAACACTGGCAATGTTCATCTGTGGTTTTCTTTAAAAAGTAACAGCAGCAGTAAAATTGTATTTCACCCTGTGATGGTTAAACTTTGCAATCAGCCCACGGTTCCCATACTTGCTCAGCTGTGAGGGAGAATCCATATGGATCACAGATCAACTACGATCTGTTACAGTACTGATCCACAAGGCCCAGTAAATTCAGTAAGTTAAAAAGTCCCCTCCCTCACACCTGCACTTCGACCGGAGGATGTGTGCATGGTTCTACACTTGCTGCCAATTTGTACAGTGTTATGTAACAGCTGCGGTGCAACTCAACACCTAAGAATTGTAATAGTGGTTTCACACCCAGTTATTGAGATGTTTAGATTTTTCAGTATCCTTTGAGAAACCCGTGAACTTTGAGTCATGGTTTCTTTCACGGTATTCTCAAAACTATGGGATGAATCTTACTGTCATTGGGACTGCTAATATGTCAGGCTGATAGTGTGCATATTGGCCATTTGTTCAATAGAAAGCTCTTGGAAAATCTTTATTTTAGTGATCTGTAGGTCTTTTTTGTCTTTGGTTTTTTCCTTTTCCATATTGTGACAATCAGTCTTCAAGACCATGCCATTATTCCTACACTAAAATGGAAGATTTCTGAGCTGTAATGCTAGTTACAATCACAGGCCACTAGTAGTTGTCATCATCCAGATGTGAGCATTTAGTATGACTTCAGATTACATTCCACCATGGCCAGTTTGTAATAGAGGCTCTCCAAGAACCCTGTGATAAGCCTAAAAAATATTCAGGGCTGTCACTCCATGGACTGTACAGCAGTGGCTTAACAGTTGTGTTTACATGAACACAATGAATTGTTCTGTACTGTGAAAACAAATGTTTTAACCGGAATGAAATAAAGGCTAAAGTGCACTACTATTGAAATATTCAGCCTGAGCTTTTAAACAGCTAATTGATGTGTGGTTTCCAAAGATCTCTTTTTTCTGTTGCATTGTTTTGAGATTGCTTTGGCCTTTTGGTTACATGAAAAGCAACAGCTCCTTACAAAATATGGCCTAAAATAATAAAATGCATTATTTTGAATATGTTGAAATCCAGCATGACTGCCATTGTTATTACTGTTATCAAGGGCTTGAGTGCCAGGTTTTGGTGTCCTGAATCAGTATTCTCTTAGACTTTTTGTCTAAGAGAATACTCTGACAGCTGCTAATTCATTGTAAGAAAAAAAAAAAAAAGGTTTTGATTATCAACTGTATTGACTTCAATCAAAAATATGTACAGTACAAGTCAGACTTTCAGTCATGTCTTATTTGCCACTATGTTCTGTTTATGCAGACGATGAAGTCGACCTGCAACACAGCACAACAGGGGGTGAAGAAGGAAACTCTGGTGAAGGATCGCCTGCAAGCAAACGCAAAGGGAGGTTGTCCAAAATGGGAAATATCTTCAAGCCCTGGAAATGGCGAAAGAAGAAGACAAGCGAGAAGTTTACCGAAACATCTATAGGTAAGCTTAGGTCAAGGGCTTACCAATTCCACCTGTTGTGTGGATTGCCTCTTAACTGATTAATTTAATGTTACCTTTTTCAGCTCTAGAAAGAAAAATTTCTGTTAGAAAAAGTCGCCAAGAGCTGATTGCAAGAGGAGTTCTAAAGGAAATCCCAGAGAATGGTAGGTAGTCTTACAGTTGTCTCTATTATCCTCTAGATGAAATGGTTTCAGTTTGACACTTATTTTGTTTCTTTGTCTTCATGGAACAGACAATGTGAACCACTCCAAAGCTCTGCCAGTCAAAAATGGGCACCCTGTGCCAGTGGACATGGAGGGGGTGTCAGAGGCGGGGGTGCGACTGTCTCAAGGGGAATCGGACATGAAGCCGAATCCTGTTAAGCTGCCCCAGGCAGATGAACGTCGAAGCAGAATACCATCTGATCCCTCTCGGAGTAACCGTGCACCTCTAGATGTGGACTCTCACACACGGCTTTCTGTGGACGTAGACAGACGAAGCCGTCTGCCATCGGATGTCCCTAAGGGGGGAGGATCTTTATCCCGAGGACCTCCTCAAGAAGATAGATGTCGCAGAGAAGAGAGGAGAGATGGAAAAGATGATAGAGAAGAAAGAGGAAGGAAGGACAGGGAAGAAGTGGAAAGACGGGAATGGCAAGAGGAAAGGGAAAGGGATGGGGGTGTTGACCGGAGGGAATACAGAGACTTCAGAGAAAGGCGCGACAAGAGAGATGAAAGGACGGACAGAGACAACAGGGAAAGGAGAGATCGCGAGCTAAGAGAAAGGAAGGATCGGGATGAGAGGGAGCGCAGAAATCGTGAGGAAAGAGAAAGGAAGGATCGGGAAGAGAGGGAGCGCAGAAATTGTGAGGAAAGAGAAAGGAAGGATCAGGAGGAGAGGGAGCGCAGAAATTGTGAGGAAAGAGAAAGGAAGGATCGGGAGGAGAGGGAGCACAGAGATCGTGAGGAAAGAGAAAGGAAGGATCGGGAGGAGAGGGAGTGCAGAGATCGTAAGGAAAGAGAAAGGAAGGATCGGGAGGAGGGGGAGCGCAGAGATCGTGAGGAAAGAGAAAAGAAGGATCGGGAGGAGGGGGAGCGCAGAGATCGAGATAAGAGGGAAAGGAGAGAGAACCGAGATGACAGAGGTAGAGAAGACAGGGAGAGGATAGATGCCCGATTAGAGAGAAATGACCAAGAGGAAAGGGTCAGGAAAAATGAAAGAGAGCAACGAGATGAGGAGAAGGAGAGGGGAGAAAAGCTGGATGTCATGCGGCCCTTAGTCAGGCCGGTCTCTGAGATAGACGTGCGGCCTGCTCTAAAGAAGAGCTCCTCAGAGGAGAACAAGAAGGCTTGTCCTGCCTCAGAAGCTGATCGGAGGAGTACCCTGCCCAGATACACCCCAGCCACAGAGTTTAGAGAACGATCGGGTAAGAACTGGATTACACTAACTTACTGACTAACAGTTTGTGTTAAGAATCTACCACTATTGGTTATTCGGAATCTGGGTCACAGGATTATTTGAGGAAACAAAGAAATATCTGTTGTGATTATGATGTTCTAGACGTTATATGCACTTTAAGGTGTTCCCTATCGGGGATGCAAGTAAGTAAATATTTAACTTAAGAGAATGGAAATTAACAAAATACCCCCAGTGCCCGATTTTCTAAGGGAATTTGCGCCAATATTTAATATCAGGAGAAAACAGTTTTAAAATTAGCGGCAGTGCTGTCAGCATGGCAGCTGTTTTTGAGAGATCTATATGAGTGAGGAGAGGGTGTTTCTGAATTGGCATCTCTCTTTTGGGGATGGCATCTCTCTTTTACAGGCCTTTGGAGCATACCATGCTTCAGTCACTGAACAAAATGAAAGACAGTTTGGCTAGCAGAAGACTGTGATGAGGAAATGGTAGCAGTAAACACTCACTTAATCCCATGCTCCATGTCTGTGAACATGTACAGACACGGTGTTTATAAGTGAAGGTGCATTCAAATGAACTCTACTGCTGTGCTCATTTACATCATCAGCATTGGTAAATACGCTGTTAAATTGGAAAATTGTGGTGATGCAGTATTTTGTGCAAATGTTGGTCATTTGCAGCAGGTTCAGTAAATGTATCCCCATTGTGTAACAGTGGTGCTGAGATAATCCAGCGGGCTCTATGTGAATCAGATCTGCATTCCTAACAGAGAAACACACCTAACCCTGTGTGGAGCGCCTATGGTTGTCTCCTAACCAGAGGATTGGCGGTTCGATTCCCAGTCCAGTCGACATGTTGATGTGTCCTTGAGTTAAGACACCGAACCCCAAGTTGCTCCTGGTAGCTGTCCCGCTGGCATGCGAATGGGTTAATACTGTGAAAGCACTTTGAGTGTGCTTCAGTGCACAGGAAAGCACTCTACAAGAGCAAGTCCTTTTATTGTTTCAGCCTGTCTCGCTGTGGTGGTCACTGCTTTTTCAGCTAAGTGAGCTAAAATAAAGGTGATTTGACCAACTTTGAGTCAGTAAAATGACACCCTTAATTGGCTAATGGAAATGACGGTGTATCAGAACAGTTTTCTTTCTTTATTTAAATGAGTACAATTTAGCATTTTGTCAAAAGCTCCTTTGTTGCGCAGCTTTTCATGTACCATATCTTGCAAACTCATAATTAACCTAAACCTCGAGACTGACATTTGATGTCTTTTATTGAACATTGCATTATTCACCCATGCCAGCGGATGGAATGATTTTGTCTTGTCAGGTCGACGTGAGCTAACACACCCATCCTGTCCTCGTTACTGCAAACCATTTTCTTAGTAAATAGTCAGTGAGGGTTAGCAAGGTAGATTGAACTCTGAAGCTGAAACAATCAACATCAGGTTTTGCTCTGTGGCTTTAGGTGAACATGAAATGAGGGAAGAACAGGTCATTAGAGCCCCTCTGAGCTTCTCTGAGTCATGTTTGCTGTGTGTGGACTTCAGGTCATCTGATTCATGTTATTCTCACTTTTTCTAATAAGTGTAGAATCCTGATTAGATTTGCCCTCTGGGTAAGATCTGGAAACCTGCTTGTTTTCCAGGGTTAATAACACCTCAGCTTTTCCTTCAGTCTTTTACTGTATATGATGACACTACACAGTTTTCCTTGGTGTAACTGTACAATCACAGTAGAACCCGTTGCTGTTGTGACAGCTTTTTTAATGTGTGTTTGTGTGGAAACCCTCTGTAGATTCCACTGGTGTCCGCTTCATCCCTGACCGCCATCCAGCACCTGACTCTCAGCAAGAACTTCCACCACCCAAGCAGGCACTGCTTCCCCCGAAATTCCTTGCTGCTCCTTCCACTGAGTCTGGCAGGAGTCCAACCCCGTCCCCTTCTTCACCCTCTGCCTCTTTCTCCTCCTCCTCTTCCTTGTCCTCTGCTCCTATAACTGTGGCCAAGCCACTGCGGACAGTCTCCCTACAAGTCGAGGACCCACCTCGACCCTCCCTCACTGCCGCTTCGTCAGGAGACGCTGACAAGCCACCCCCTGTCCCTCCCCATGCCAAGCAGCCCCCTGTCCCTCCACCGAAACCCACAAACCGCAACAGCAATCCTGCACTGCTTGGTGAGTTTCTTAGTGTCTGCTCCTGCAGGCTTATTGCACACATAAAATTCTCTGTATAAATAGCTGCTTTTGACTTTGTGTGGCCTTTTTAATAGGATTTCAATAAGGTCTGGGAAAACTGTGCACTGGAAGTCTGAGAAACTGGTGTCAGAACATTGGATTTAAACAGTTTCTTTCATAGAGAACTGTAGAACACTTGATCATTCCGGCATCAAGCAAAATGTTGTTACAGTGTCGGGTCAATTACTAGTGGTTTACACTTGGTAGCATTTGCTATCACAAAACAGTGCCACAAGTTATGAAGGAGAGTGCCATCTACTCAGTTAGGCAGTGTGCTGGAGATGTCTGTGGTTTTCTCTCCCACCTTCCCCGAATGCTGTGCTGGATGAAACATCTCTCTCAGCAATAATGTTTGGATTATGGTCAACTTAATTGAGTTCTAGAGTAAGAAAAGATGGGGCATGTAAACAAAGTGGCTAGTTCAGTGCAACACTGACTAGGTACCATGTAGCAGTTGGTGTTGACTTTCCAATTAAACTTGAATCTTAACTTACAATGAAGCGATGCAGCAAGCTGTGTAACAACAGTGCATGTATGACCTCACTTCCAGTTAGAGGTCGTTTTCCAGACTGACACCATGAGAATTGTCAGTTAAGGTTGTTCAGGTGCTGCAATGCACCACTCACTGCAGAGTAGGTTTGAAAACAGCTCATTTAATTTGTCCTAGAAGTTGTGAATAGGTTGTTGCTGTTATGTCCTCATTACATCTCCAAACTTCATATTTATTTAAAAAAAAGGAAGAAACCAGTTAAATTTTAAGTCCAAGTGTTGACTGTAATTACCTTGAGTTCTGTCTCATAGTGAGTCCAAGTCTGGTTGCTGTGTAGGTGTTTTTGAATCCGTTGCTAGCATGCCGATTTCAGTGTGTACAGCCATCACCCTCTGGAGAGGAGACACGCACCAGCTTGTCCTTCTACCCTCTATGTGTGCTAGCACCTCTCTGGAGGGGAGACAGACACTGATTAGCTTTTAGTATCTCATATCCTTTGTCCTTGTACCTCACAGCTGCTCTTGTTTACAAGCCGTCCCAGTATCTATCTGTGCCAGTGACACATTCACTGCCATTTGTTAGCTGAGGTTTTTCTACATATGTTACTACATTTCCTGTCTCACTATTAGCCTGCAGCTGTTTGTGAGCACAGAACAGCTTGTCTTATAGGCTTTGTGAGGTTACACTGGGAATGGACTTTGTCAGCAACACACACATCTCATGCAGTCAGTCCCTGTAGAAGACATGTTCTTTTTTCTGTGTATTGGTTTATATTAAATAGTGTCAGTTACGTTTTCTCATAAGATATTTTAAGGCAATGTTAAATACATCATGGGGATTATAGCTGACCCAGACTAGATTTTTAGCCTGAGACTATTAATCTTTGGGAGATTACAAAGTCAGATTTTTCAGTTATCTTATTACTTATCAGTAATGTTGGGAACTACAGCAAAGCTACTCTAAGGAATTTAGTTCAATTAACTACAGTAGTTCAAAGTACTTTGTAAACAAATTTATCAAATTGACAATATACGCGTGATACAAAATATACTCAAAGTCACATGGCAGCAACAAACGCCACTCGGTTGAGTCTGTTACCTGAGGCTTGAGCCTGTCTTAAACAAAACAATCCCATCTGGGCTTTTTACAAGGATGAAACTGCAGTGAATGTTATATTTGTGTTACAAGTAAATCTGGATTTTGTATCATTCGACTGCAATTAAAATAGTAAAGAAACATATTTAAGTTGCACCTGTTTAGACCTACTTCAGCAAAAAAAAAACACACAAAAAAAACAGGCCTGTTGTCTTACTGGTGAGTTCTGTAACATCTCACTTGTACAGTCTTAATTACACAAATTTTCAGGTTGTACCTTTTCAGATGGTATGAACAGCTTGAACGCTGGTCTGAATAATTGGCCTATCTTTTTACTTGGCAGAGCAGAATTTCTTGATTGTACAACGCCTGGGCCATCTCTCCGAGTTGTTATCCAACAGGTGGTTCTGTTTGATGCTGAAAAGGTCCTTACCAGTGATGAAAAGCTGCTCATGTGCAGCATGATAAAATAAAAATCATTCCTTTTATGGCCCAAAATTCTTTGTAGTTTTAGTAGGTAATTAGACACAAATGGCAAAAAGTAATTTAACTTCTATTTTCATCACTATGCAAATATGAATGTAGTTGAGCTACCAGCAAGCTATTGCAAAATAGCAGTTAAATTAGTAGTAGTTAAATTACTAGTTTGGTTTCATGTACTTCTTCAGCACTCCCCAACACTACTTATCAACAGTAGGGATGAACAAACTGAAACAAGGAAAAATGGGGATTCCCTGTCACTGATTTCAT